TCCAAATAGAATATAACTAATAGTCCAAAAAGAAAATAAATAGTAAATGGAAGAAAATAAATAGTAAATGGATGTCCGCATCACAATTTTTCTGTTCTCTTATCTCATACTGGATTGGGAGAAACTTATCGATCGTGCACCAACAGGCTGATGTTGATGGAAATGGGACGATTGACTACATTGAGTTCATTACTGCTACAATGCACAGACACAGATTAGAAAGAGAGGAAAACCTTTACAAAGCATTTCAGTACTTTGATAAAGACAATAGCGGGTGAGTGCTTCGAGCAAGATTTTAAAGCTTATAACTCTGTTGTATATTACTGAATAAGTTTATTTCACTTGCTATAGGTTTATCACAAGAGATGAACTAGAAACAGCCATGAAAGAGTATGGAATGGGCGACCCAGCCACCATAAAGGAAATATTATCTGAAGTGGACTCGGACAATGTGAGTTTGTTTACTCGATTAAAGGTCAAATTTTTTCCTTAAAATATGGTCTCACCTAGACCTGTCAAATTTCCAGGATGGAAGAATCAATTACGAAGAATTTTGCACCATGATGAGAACTGGAACTCAACAGCCTGACAGACTCTTTTAGCAGTATTGAGAACCGGGTTGAGTGTAAGAATCGAAACTTTCAGAGTTAATTTGCTGACTCCAGATCCTTAGAAACTACGTGGAATCTCCACCCGAAGTTAAGACCTTTAAACCCTCTGAGACTCNGTAGATTTTTATACACAAATTTCCTGTATTCATTCTCTGATTCCCCAAGGATATCTTCTCATTTTTTTCAATAGTATGTGATTTGCTGACAATTGTCACCCTTAGCACCCTCACCGATTTTCTCGTTCTTGATTTAATATAATTTTGGATATTATTTTGTGGATCCCGATAGAAAGTGGTGTTTATAAACATAAGCCATACATAGGCTGAATCAAGGTTAAGATAGACATTCTAGTCACAATCAAAAGTTAGTTATTCCAAAAGAAATGGCTCTGGTTTGATATTCCAGCATGTGATTCTATAAACCAAGGCATAAATTTAAAGTTTCAAGATTCGCATTGTTCAGCTAACTATGATTGTTTCGATTTGATCATTTAAGAAGGGACGATGGAATGAGTGGCCTGAATGATGGAAGTTACTGGCCTGGTATTTGTGACCTAGCTAACAAATTTAGTCCCATATATATATATATATATGTCACAGTGGTAAAAATGTGTAAAATTGGGCCAGTGCTACGATACCAAACATGTCATACACTTTTTAAATTAGCGGCCGATACTATAGGCCTGTATTGTATGGTTTTGTTTCACCAATCTTGGATACTGTAATTTGCTAGATTACGGATGAACATTTTACCACAGGTTTTTAATTTACCTTTCTGTGATTCCTGTTATAAAATATACTCGTGATCGTGGGTGTAGGATGGACCATTTTAAAAGCAGATTTCCAATTCATTAGATATAGGATATCAATATTTCGTGATTCACTATCAAACTTATTCCAATTTCGAGAGCTTGGGTCAAATCTACGTTGATATACCCTCGAGCTCTATTACTGAACTACTCATTCAATGAGCGGCAGCCATTCGAGTGATTGTGAACTTGATTTGATCGAATAAAACAGAAATGAAATAGTGCACATGATCAATCATAAAGTTGCAAGATTCCTTGGTTGTATTTGAAGTAAATTAAAAATTTAAAAGTGGCTTGAGCACAGCCGAAAGTCCAAGATCTAATCAAATTCTCATGTTATTTTGTCTTTAACACTGGGAGAAAAATCTGAAGGAGCCAAATTCATTGAATGGCGGCAGCTTCCTTGTAGGCGTGGGACACATTTGGGACGGTAAATACTGCAATTACCTTCATTTCAATGGACCAAAATTTCTCCATGTCACTGTTTAATTTCATTCTTGTTTGATCCTATCTTGCATAGTGATTGAGTGTGACAATAAGTTGATCATCGAAGCATATGTATTAACCCAAACGATCATTTCACTAGATCCCGATTTACAAATTATACTAGTCTAGAATACTCCAATTTTTCATCATGTCAACCACACCTCTAATTTGACGTGATGCCTATCTTAATTTAGCACGCCAGTCTTAACTCGGCATGCTTAAAGTTAACTGTGTGAGCACCGTCGAAGAGTAATTACTTACTAGAATAGCACACTCGAGTGAGCCATGGGCTCTGGGGATTATATATGTGTTAATTTTCATGAGAAAGTAACATGACTAACAAATAACTAAAATGGTTAATTCAGAAAATCAAAAGTGGTTAGTTGGTCAAAAAAAAATAAAAAAGAAACGTCCAAGTTAACTAAACAAAATGTTCACCTTGAATGGTAACACATATCAGAGTTCAATTTCTTTCTTGCTAAAAAAAAAAAAAAACTAAATATAGTACGACCATCTAGTCGTAAAAGAGACTATTTAAACTTTTTTTTTTATTTTTTATTTATGACAGGGGAACTTACAGCCGCTACCTTTCAGGTGTGTCCAGCCTCGGACTGATGCAATAGCTTGCAAACCGTGCCAATCAGGTAAATCGTACTAGACAAGCCGGATGTAACAAGCTCGATCGAAAAAGTGTTGGTAGAAAAAATCGAACTCGTGATCAAAAACCTTCGTACTCTCCTATTCCACCAACTCGATTACTCCATGAGGGGTGAAAAGAGATTATTCAAACTTGATGTCCTAACAAGTGGCGGGAGGCAGGTGGGCCACTGGTGTCCCAGGCTCCCACTTGAATCTGAAAAAATGAAATAAAATAAAATAAAATTGTAAGAATTGTTTTTTTTTTTT